TCCCATATCACTTTCCTAAGGTTTCTAGACACTCTGAAACCCTTTTTGACATTATTTTCACCCAAAAAACTTGAAATTTTTACATACTCAATTTCTCCTAAGAGCAAGTCCCCCAAAATGCCAATCACCCAAAAGTCTAAATTACTCATAACACATCAATGTTGCAATGCACTTTTGTAACAATAATTTAACAGCTCAATATCATGGTTAATACTCTATTATAACTTGAAATAACTACATAGGGGTCTTACAAGGAGCGTGGGCTATAGGTGAAGGGTGGGGTTTGAGCAGGTCCAATAGGCATGGAAATGTGGTGCGAGTCTAGGTACAATAGGTATCGGTGGAATTGTCTGTATTCTTCTAGTTTTATAGGTGAAATACGTGGTAAAAAGGTCTTTGTTAATAATTTTAAATATCATCAAAAAATTGCAATCCCAATGTAATTTTTAAAATTTAAGAACATGTTGGTGTAGTTTTGTCAAATGATCAGGTGTCCTTGCAAAATTTATCCTTAATCTTGGAAATCTGAGAATATAAATATATGAAGCTCAGAACAAATTTTGTCATATATGTTTGGTTGATAGGTACCCAGTACCGATACACATTGGATACAAGATACACATCTAATACATCCTTACGGATCATATAGTAATTGCATAGAATGCCTTACAATTTATTTGAGCTTAATAATCAATGTACATCAAAGCCAATGGATCATATAGTAATTTCATGTTAAGTTAAAGATGAGATTTCATGAATTATGGCATATGTCCATTTTAGTATTATACGAGCTTTATCAATGTGGTCATGTTTTCATAAGAGAGAGACAAAGAGAGAAAGAGAGATTGGTTCATTTAATCCAACAAGCTCACATTGCAACGCTAACCCTAGCTACTACCGTCCCCAATACAACAAGCCAAGCGACGTCTTTTCATCCCCTGTTCTCTTTCTCCCTCTTCTCTTACTCACTCCAACAACGAAAAAACCCTACTTCAACTATGTGTGACCTACTTTGGAGCTCCACTACATAGACTCGCTTTGCTGATGCAAGGCCCACTCTGGATACCCACTTGTGGTACTCCGCGCTTATTGTTATTCTTCATTCTCACTAGAGACGATGGCCTAAGGATGGAATGGTTGCTAGTGAGAGGGCTAGCAATACTCCCCAACCACATATGCATGTCCCAGAACCTCTTACCCAACCTCTCTCTCTCCATCAGACAACCATTATCGTCTGTCATTACCCTATAGCCTCGCCCTCCCTAATTTCCTTTTCTCTCTATCCTCAATGACTACAAAGCGTTTGTGGTCTTGATCCAGTTACATATCTATGGTAGTGATAATTAACTTTTGCGACCACCTCCTTTGAATCACATAATATCCAATTCAACTCTCTCTAAAAAAACAAAGTAAAAAGATGTGGCATCTCTATTGCTTCCTCCATTTTATGTTATAATTATTTTCAATATTTATATTTGTCCTTCCGTGATCATAAGGAAATAGTTTGAAGATTCTTAATCCAACTCTTTCGTTTATATGAATTGAAAATGAATATCAAAAAAATAAGTTGATGGTTATCATTGAAAATGAATTTTAACTTGTCATTTGAAGATATTAGTTGTTACACATGTGTGTTGCATGTGGACATTATTTTGAGATTACAAATATCACACATTAGTGAAATTAAAAATTCAAATTTTTACAAGGACATATACTAAAATTAGAAAATACCAATGGTGAAGTCGATGGATAATGATCATTATCTTTGGTTTATCATTCATAACTGATAGCAAGACACGATAATTCTTTAATGTATTCTCTCTTCTACCTTTTTGAGAAATTGGAATATTTTATTCATAAGATATCCAACAAAAAAAATCTTAAATTGCAAGATTTTAAAAATCTCAAACACGCATAGAATGTAAAATGAATACAAATTCATCATAAATTGATTTTCAGGACCAATAGAATATAAGACTTTAATATGGAGAGAAAAGAAAGAAAATGTTTAATAATCAAAATAATCAATTATTGAACCTAAGGAATATAAAGAGAAAACAAGAACAGTTTTAATCATCAACACAATTAATAATTAAATAGGCAAATGGGCAAAAACATCAGCACCAAGACAATTACGGTAAGTAGTAAATAAAAAGAAAATCAAAAATTTTGAACTATATCTGATAACAATAGTAAACGTAAAGATATAGATATAAATATAGATGTGAAAATAGAAGTATATGAAGGGTCATTTGCATATTTAATTAATATCGAATAATTAAATACATAAGAATTTATGTGTCTTTTATCTTTTTGATTGAGACATAATAGTCACTCAAAAAAATTTTATTTAGTTTCTTTTTATTAGTAGTATAGATAGATATAAATATTTTTTTTTTATTAACTCTAAGTCAAGAAAATTAACGATAATCCCTTAACTTTTCAAAACATCTTGGGTTTTTTGTTATGGAAAGTCAAACATACTTATATTTTTCCTTCTTAAACAACTCGTCCCCTTCTTTCTAAATTCTATTTGTTTCTTTTTACTAGGATTTACATACATATTAAAATTTTATTAAAAAAGTTCTTCGTCTTTAAATTTGTTAGATACTAGTTATTGCACGTGGATTCTAAATAAAAAATTATTGTAAATCAAATTCGTGGACTATTCTTTTCAAAATTCACCATCATAATAAACATTGACAATTGAACAAATCTAAATCATGTTTTATAAGAAAAGTCCTAAAAATATGCCAACTAAACTATTATATAATAAAATATTTGTCTCAAATATATTGGTCTCCATTTTGTCCTTGTGACTAATATTTCAAGAATATTTTTTCCATTCTTGTTCGCAATAATAAGAAAGCAATTGGATGATAGTTAGAATTCTTGTTACACTAATACAACAAAAAAGAGAGATGCAGAACTAACATCCATGGAACATTAAATTTGTACAAATCAATTTTTGTAATATACAATTGTAAAGGACCCGTCAAGTACAAGAATTTGTAGGACCTTTTTTCTGCACCCAATTTTCTTCTTCTGAAATGTTCTAGGAATGGCTATCATTTCAAACTCAGAAAATTTTAATAAAACATAGAACAACAAATAAAAAAAATCAAATCAAAATGAGAGAGAAAGCCTTTAGAAAAAAGAAATGAGTGGAAGAGGTCATGCATAAAAGCAGGCAGACGTTTAAGGTTGCAAGGGCAGCATATACCAATACCTTCGTCACCAAATGATGGAGATTCAAGATTTTCACATTGTGAATTGTTAAGCATACCCAACTTAACAGATCTTTGACCCTTCATATCCCGCTAGTTGAAGTATGTCTGTTGATATCCTTGCATTTATTCATAGATAAATTTGACAATGACAACCAATAACAGTTTTAACTATAGACAACTTGCAGGAATTCTGACTCTTGATATCCTTAACTTTAAAGCCTTATTGAAGAATAAATTTGTATAAAGGATCAAATAAACTTTATGTAATTATTTAATGGCAAAGTAGAAAAAAAAAATATAGTTAGTACATTTTTATTAGTAGTATAAATATAGATAAGAGAATAGTTCTAGTTGGTTGCCCCTAGTCCCATAAAGTTGGAAAATAGGTCAAAACAAAGAAAAGAAATAAAAAAATAAAAAGTTTAAATTAATTATTAGAGCCTTTTTTTTTGGCCTAAATTATTTGAGTTTAAATAAATATAAGAAACATCAAATTTATATACATAATTAATTTAAGAAGATGAAAGGATATGATAGAATTATGTATTATAATGAAGAAATGAAAGAAAAATTGGTCAAATAATTAATTATTTTATTAAGGCTATTATAATCAATCAAAAGTTTTTCACTTTATAGATATTTTATAATAAAGATATTAATTAGAAGAATACAAACATATACACTAAAAGAAATATGTTTAATTGGTTAAAAATAGAACTGCAAATAAGAAACAAATCAAGTGACACTGGCGTAGCCAAAAAAAAATAATTTTAAATAAGTGAAAATAGGACAAAAGGATATAGCCACATGTACATTTTTTTTTCAATTGAGAATTATCCCTACTAATACTATTGCATAGATTAAATTTACCGATTAAATCTATAATCATTGCTATGACTTTCACACTTATTAATAATCTAACAACAGCAGAGTTAATCAAGAATTAACACTGATTTTTAAACCTGTCATTTTTACACCTATTAATAAGAGTAATACTATTTGAAACTTAAAATTTGAATTAATTTGTTGACATAATGATGTGGTATCATAGAAATCATCGGATTAACATTAAGTTTTAATGTCTAATGGAGTTTACAGTGAATTTAAATTTTATATAAATAAAAATGAGATAAAAAATGCAACATTATATGAATTAGTTCCTATTTGTGATCTTATTTTTTCGATCAGTCTAACCTTATTCATAATAATGATAGTGCAGAGATTAAATTTAAGGATTACATATATTATTATCCCACTAAATTTGAAGTTATTATTTTTTTTTTTGTTTTATAAGTTAAGATTGTGCATACTAATTTACACACATCCTTGATTAATTTTTCTCAAATTATATTAAAAACGAATTATTTACATCAAAAATAAAATATTCAAAAAAAATCTATTACTCGTAATCTTAATCAAGATTTATTTGAACCTTCAACTTTTGAAGAAATATTGTCTTTTCACCTCCCTCCTGAGGAATAAATATTAAATTTAATGGTGATATCTTGGTATTATTAATTAATAATAAAATATTAAGTAAACACAGTGAGTCTAGTTAAGTAATTATTTAATTACATGAAAAAAGAGTAATTATTTACTTATAAAAATGATTGATTATAAATTTTAGTAACATCTATTTATTTATTTATTTTAATATTATTAATAACAGGTAATATCAGTTCAGCATTCTCGTGTATATATATTACAGTAGTAAATGATTTCTCTCTCCTGCTCAGTGGGCTTTTTGTGCTTTTGGCTTCTTCTAGCTTAATGTGCCGTGAGTCTACTGCCATGGCTTCTCCTTCCATCCCTAAACCCTTAGATCCAAACGCACGACCTTGGTACCCCGCACGCGCCGAAAAGTTTCACCCTCTTCCTCTTCAAAACTTCGACTCGCCGCCCCCATCTACACCTCCGCTGTCATTACTACCGCCACCACCACCGCCACCGCAATTTTCGAACCCAGTACAAACCAAAGAGCCTTCCCTTCTTTCCCCTTCAATCCTTTACCAACAAGCACTGGTTTCACATATACTTCACCCACCAATACAACCGGCGGTGGGTTTTCCTCTGCCATTGCCGGTGGTCTTTTACGGTTCTAGTCCACAAACATTTCCCGGGCTGGATTTTTACCCAGAGGTTTCTTATAACATCCATAATATACAATTGCCTCAACAATTTTGTCGCTCACATGCGCAAAAAACTCATCGGTACCCAGATGGAGTTGACCGTGGTGTTGAAGTCAATGGTTCTTCTGGAGAGAAGGTTATGGAAACTGCGAAGGCGGGGGAGAAAATTGAAGGTTTGAGGAGTTGTTTTGGGAGAGAGAAAAGGGATGTCAAGTTTGTGCCACTAAGGTCTAGGGTTATAAGGGGGCACAGTATGGAATTTGGTGAGAAAATAAGGAGGTTAGAGTGGCAGCCTAGGAAGACCAAGTTCGACCAGGGTGGTGTGGGTGGTACTGTCCCTTCATTTCCTCCATCCCCCACGCCTTCTCCCGCTGATGATTCAAATTGTGAAAATACAACTGTTATGATCAAGAATATCCCAAACCAGTTCAGGTACTTTTTCCATGTCTATGTGTGTATTGCTTATGATCTACAAGAATGGGTGCATAATAGAAAAGGGTTTTACGCCATAAATCAAATCTGCTGTTCTATCTAAAAGGGTTTTGCATGGGAAATTTGGTGATGCTTCAAGTATGCTTCTCCTTGTTTTGACTTTTGTCTGTTATCTAATCAGCATTTTCTTCCCCCCGGTATTGAATTTTTTTGGAAATTCTGTAGCTCATACTTGAACAGTAATTCTTGATCTTCATTTGTCCCTGTAATTATTGGACGTGAATTTTGACACAACATCTTCTTTGTTATAGAGCATCTCCAACCCGTCTGTGTTAGCTATTTTAATTAGGCAAACCCTAAAAATAGTCTCCGACCACTTTCTACCGTCCTCTATTTCTTATTTCACCCAAATGGTGTGCCATATGCTCTCTAAATATAGAGAGTTATTTAACTTTTTTAAATTCTCTTTTTACCTTTTATATAATATATATATATATATATATATATATATTATATTTTCTGTAAATTATTGAAAGGTAGATGAAATAATTATTTAAAATAAAGAGAGTGATTGAAGTGAACTTATAAAAATAACTAATTAAAATAGAAAATATGATTTTGGCTAGTATTTTTGAGAGGTGGGTCCGAGATGCCAGTATGTAAAAGGAAGTTCAATGGTCTCAGTTTTGCACTTTTCTCTCGAAGTTTGTCCGTATCCCTGTTGACCAGTTACCCAAAAGATGTCCTTTTGTTATCTCTATCCCATGTATACCCGCAGTTCATACATGCACAAAAATAGTATTCCACGGTGATGTTTAATTAATGTTATGAGCGTGTTAACATTCCTTAGTGTGTATTTATGATCACCTGCGCACATTGATCTTGAACTTGTTTTAACCATGTTTGGCTGATAATTTTCAGGAGGAGTAAGTTGTTACAGATTCTTGATCTGTACTGCCAAGAGCATGAACTGGAGTATGATTTTGTCTACCTTCCGTTTGATTTCAAGTAATTTCCAGAAACAAATACAGTGCCTTTTTTGTAATTCTTAAAGACAACAGCGAGATGCAAACAAGTTATTTGTATCTAACTTTTACCCTTTTTATATTGTTGAAATTGATTGATCAGGAAGGACAACAACTTAGGCTATGCGTTTGTCAATTTCACTAGTTTTCACGGTGCGAGAAAATTTCGAGAAATTCTGCATAACCACAAATGGGGAGCTGTCCGAAGCTCAAAGGGTGTTTACGAGTCCAAGAAAATCTGCGAGATCAGATGGGCCAGAATCCAGGTATGATCATTGTTTGATAATCTACCATCACACTTTAGTTCTTATGGTTTTACTGAACTTTGCTTGAATTATATCTTCTGAATCTTTGTGGTTTTGCTGTCTGAAATGTTTCAAGGGAAAGGATGAGCTGGTTCGACGTTTCCAGAATTCAAGCTTTGCGTGTTCTACTAGGGAATATTTGCCAGTAGTTCTCTCTCCACCTCGAAATGGTTCATCGCCAAACACTTTGCCCATAACTGTTGGTAAGTGCAGAGCCTCCCTCCCAACGTCTTGAAGAAACCAAACCACCTCCTCGCCGGGTTGTTTCATCTCTCTTTCTCTCTCTCTTGCTGTAAATAATGGTTAGGGGCTTGGGCAGCTTTGTGTTACATGATCTCTTTTACTTTGCTTTGTGTACGTTAGTCTTTGGAGTAAAAGAACAAACAAGACTGAGATGTGCACTGCAGTGGGTTTGCTGTGACCTGTGTTTTCATTCTCCCCCTGGTTTCGGAGCTGTGGGTGTGTAGATGCTCCCATCTGGGGTGAATTGGAAACATGGGTCTTGCTTGGTATTTGGTTTGTTGTCGTCTAGGGCATTTCTATTTTATGGGCTTCTTTGATACTTTATGAAATCTGTATGTTGTACTGTTCTCTCGTATATTTATTTGCTCTTTACCCCCTTATCCACCTTGTTTTTCTTCTTGTAATGTTTGTTTGATCTCAGCTTTTTAATTGAATGTGTTTCTTAAAATGATTTGGGTGTGTTCGTTTGCGTATAATGTGGGTACAAGGCTGTGGGATTTACTAAACTAATAATTGGGCTCACTTAATACCCTGTTTGTTTAGCTAATATCTAGTACTAATTTCAAAATTTTATATTGACCCAACATCTATAGTGGACATATACATACGAGATTGGTATATTCAATACCATCTGATACATGGTATTATTCAGCGGTAAATGGCTACAGACGGTATAAGTTACCCAAGTAACTAGAAGAAGCCCTTTCTTCACGAGAAAAATACCCCCCTCTTCCTAAATCTAACCCTAGGCCCCTCTGATTTCCACTCTGACGACAGAGTTGATAACTATGTCTATTGCATAATCGTTCACGAAGACCTAAACACTCTTCTCGACTTCAATTGGTAATCTTTGTCATAGGCCCTCCTTCCGAACAAGGCTTTAAATCTTCCGTTTGGGTTGGATCACAAAATCGGTTTACGTCAAGGTTCCTACAACCTTTTTTGTTATTTATATAGTAAACTACAGTTTGTCATGGCTCATTAGTTTTTGAATGAGTATTGAAGACAATGTACCCTGTTATAGTGTTATTGTAGATTACCTCAAATTGCAACTATGGTGGAATTTCAATTAAGTGCATAAAACAATGGTAGAAAGGTGCCTGATATACATCATGGTTGCTGTGTCTGGTATGCTATATCCCTTAGTTCTTCTACTGGGTCGTTGAGTTTGTTTAAGGCCAGTATCAGTATTTCGTCTCTTTGCCTATAGTTGTCGGCTTGGCTTTGCTTATTGTTGTGGTTTGAAGCAATGTTATTAAAATCAGGCCGGTCCACCGTGAATCGAGACCTAAAATAGCACGATTCTCTAGTTAGACCGGATAAAGTCGAACTGTCTACAAATCTTTAAATATGCTGGTTTTGGACCAGACCCATGAATTGGAAGGTTTGTTTCAAACATGCAGTTGGAATTTCAATTCTTATATATATATATATATATATATACTAGTTATTTTTTGTACCTGAACGCATGATGTAATAAAAAAAATATTTAACAATAAATATATTTGTATTCATATCTAAAATCAAATCACAAACATAGAGGAAAGATAAATGAATTTAAGCATCAATTATAGTGGAAATGAGTAGTGGTAGTGGTGGTGGGTGATAATGGTGATGGTTGGAGACAGTGATGGTTCTGGTGGGTGGCAACAACCGTGTTGGTGGCGGCAACGGTGATGGTGGTGGTGAGTTTTTGGTGACGATGGTGGTAGTGACAACTGTGAATGACAACGATGGTGGTGCTGGACAACGGTGATAATGGTTGACAGTGGTGGTTGTGGGCAGTGACGATAGTGGTGGTGGGCGACGATGCGTGCTTTTAGGTAACAATGTGACACGTAGTGGCGAATGGTGGTGGTGGTAATAGTGGTAAGTGTGGTGAGGGTAGGTGACTGTGGGTGGTTGTAGTGATGGGCAATGACGGGTGGTGGTAGTAGGTATGGTAGGGGTGGGTGATAGTAGCTGGTGACAATGTTGGGCGACGACGGGTGGTGGTTGGTGTTGATGGTGGGGCGATAGTGGTAGTGGGATGATGGTGGTAATTGTAATAAATATAAAAATAAGATGACAATGGTTGTGGGTGGTGGCGGTAGACGATGGTAGTAACAATCGTGGTAGATAAACAATGCTGATGGTGGTTGGGGTGGCGGCGACAATGGGGTTTTGGCGACGATGGCAGTGGAGATGGTAGTTGTTATGGCCGTGGGGGGGTGGTGGTGGGGAGGGTGGTAATGGGGCAGTGGAGGTGGTGGTGATGGTGGTGGTAAAGGAGATGGAGGTGGTGATAGGGTGGTGGCAGCGGTGGTGGTGGTGGTAGTAGTAATAGTGATAGTGGTGGGGCGGTTCCAAACACTACTCTTTTTGTTTAAATTACTTATGATAAATAATTCGTAGAACTACTTTTAAAAAGTTACTCTAAATATATATTTAGGAGCCTATTTTTACTATTAAATTTGGGGTGTTAATATTAGCCGTCAGATTGACTTTAAAATAAAATTTGAAGAGATCTTAACCGCGAATAACAAAAGTCATTTCGTTTATCTTTTGAAATTTAAATTATATTGTACTTTATTATATATGCTAGTTATTGCCTATATCTAAAGGCACAAAGTTAAAAAAAAATGATAAACAATAAATATACTTGTATTAACCTAAAATCAAATCACAAATATATAAAAAGATAAAGGAATTTAAGTACCGATTGCAATAAAAAAAATAGCGATGGTAATGGTGGTGGGGTGGCATTCTACAAGGCATCTAACCATGACATTAATAATCCATTCTTTGAATAAAGTGCAATGATAGTGGGGATTGAAAGGTTGTCATGAAGAACTAGTCAGGGTACTTGCATTGAACCAACAGATCTTTCTATGCATGAGTCATCCGTATCATAGATGGAGCCCTAGTTATACGAAGGACCTCAATCTTTGCTAGGTATATTCAATCACCCAATGAACAGGTGGAGTATAAACCATTAAAGCATGAAGAAATTGCACAAACATAACTTTCAGATACTCTTTATATGTTCATCACCTCTTACTAAAGAGTGAATGAGGAACTACTCACTTTCATAGCCTTGGCAAAGCTAGAAAAGTGAGTGCTACTCATCCCTCTAAGTAGAGACGCTACTAAGTAAAGCAAACTAAACAAAGAGTTTTTCTTCAATGAAGAATAAATGAATCACTTTCCATCCTTCACGGCTTTAGTAAAGCTATAGAAAAGTGAAAAAGTTTCACTCTTCTAAGAAAGAAGGATGCTCAAGCAATGGAAGTGAAATACATGAACAATAAAAATAGAAGAAATCTAGTTGTCTTTGGAGGGTTTCAACCACAACCAAAAGATGAACTACCTCTCTTGATATTTTGTAAATAAAAGCAAGTACAACTACAAGGGGAGTCTAAGCCTCCATCATGGTTGATATAAATGCAAAATGAAAGTATAAACATGAAATGTTCAAGAAGTAGATTACTAAATCACTCTTACTTTACAAGAATAAAGATTGTTCCCTCCTTTCTCTACAAGAGGAAGAATGCCCTTTAAACTCCCAACATAGGAGTATTTATAGGCAAGGAAGGGGAGGGGGTAGGAGATAAAAGAGGATGAGTGAATAGTATTTGCTGCCCATGGGAATCAACTATTCTGCAGAGGGATGTTCGAATGTGATCTGGCGTTCAAACGCCAGATGGAGTTTGATTTCTTCCACTCAAGTGACCTGTGATCACTAATTTGGTCACTTCCATACGTCTTGAAGAACCTTGACTTTACACTCAGCAACTTGGTCCTCAGTCACTCAGGACAACGTTCGAACGTGGAGTGACGTTCGAACGTTGTACTCAAGTACTTCTAGTTCTTCTTTCTTACTGCAACATGTCAGGTTCCAGTGGTGTAGTCTTTTCAAGATTCTAGAGGACGTTCGAACGTGGTACTCAAGTACCTCAGCATTTTCCCTTTGTTGACTGCAACACGCCATATCTCAGCAGCTGGTCTTGGCAGAGTTTCAAAGGACGTTCGAACGTAGGTTGACGTTCGAATGTTCGAACGTTCTTTCTTTGTTCACACCTCCTGAAGTTTTGTTCCCTATTGTATTGATGTTACATTCAAGTGTGATTTTTGTTGTTTTTGAATCTTTGTTCATCTTAGAACCTGAAATGTCATTACTTAAACTCTATCAAAGCACAATTAGTCAAAGAAAACATAGAAAAAATTGTTAATTTTACACACGAATCAATGATAGTGATGACGGTAGTGGTGAGGCGATGGGTGGGGTGGTGACATTAGTGGTGGTGGTGGGGTGGCGACGATGGGGGTAGTAGTGGTAGTGGTTATAACGGTGTGGGATAGTTTGGTGTTGGGGTGGGATGGCGGTGGTCGTGATAATGATATTGGTGGTAGGGGTAGTGGTGATGGTGGAGGGGGGTGGTGGGGCTTGGTTGGGGGTGGTGGTGGTAGTGGTGATGGTGGTAGGGCGATAGAGGTGATGTGGTGGTGGTAGTGGTGGTGGTGGTAGTGGTTATGGAGGTGATGTGGTAGTGGGGTAGTTCTAAACACTACTTTTTTTTTAGTATTAAAAGTATTTTAAAAAGTTATACCATTATTAAATTTGGGGTGTTAATATTAGCCGTTGGATTAACATTAAAGTAAAATTGAAAGAGATCTCAACCGCAAGTAGTAAAAGTCATTTTGTTTATCTTTTTAGATTTGAATTGTATTATACTTTATTATTATTATATATATATAATCCTCTTTTCGGGCTATTTTGCTAAATCAATCGTAGACTATTTCGCACTTAAGTTCATTGGCCACTCTGGAGACCAATAGGCGACCAGTCCGGCACCAAAAGGAGCTCAGGAAAGGGATCACTCGACGACTACTCCTCTACTTGAAGCTTGATCTCTCTCACTTAGTCAATCTCTGCGACTCAAGCGACAAACAGCTTCAAGCCTTCAGTCTCCTTCGATCATCCACCCCTCCTCTTCTCTCTCTCTTTCTCTCTCCCCCTTCCTTCACAGCCTGGCTTCTGTAAGTCTCCTCCAACCTTTTGTAATTATTGACTGTGTTGCATATAAATAGTATTGACTATTGAGAATAAAACCCAAAACATGGTTTTATTTTTACGGTATGTATTTTTTTCACTACTTAGCTTCATTAATTTTATGACAATTTATATATATTGGAGATATGTTTCATACTTTTAGCTAAATTATTATATTTTTTTATTTTTTGATTAATCGATCTGATCAATTGACCCAATGGTTGAACCATTGACTCAGTATCTCTTTCAGTTTGATA